AGGGAAGAATATCAACAAGACAGAGAACAAATGGTTTGGAGGAAACAATTTAAATGCAAACTACTTTCAAGAGGAGAGGAGAGGGAATGATGGATGAGGGAATAGACTGATGCAGAAGCAAGTAGAACACCCCACCTCTAGATGCTCTATCACATCTGTATGAAGAGTATGATGTAGGTAAGACTTCACTGTCAGCTACAGTGGAGCTTAACCAGGTTTTAGTGACACTGAAAATCATGGTAGATGTGAGATATACATAGGATTGAAATTAATGTAATTTAAGACTATAAGCTACCAGCATTCAAGAGGCAGACTGAGAAGTCATCGATGGCTAGTCAGGAAGGAGCTGTAGTAGGAAATGAGACAGGCTTAATGGAATCATTGAACAGGAGTCACTACCAAGAGAGGCAGAATTGGGTGAGACATTAACAGGGGAATTAGAACTGGGCGGATCAGTAACAGGCGCAACAGGATTGAGTACAGGATTATTAAAACTTTGATCATGCACAAAAGTGCTCTGTAGCATCCTACATGCTATAACACCACTTACATGAATACTGGAACCATTAAACCTTACTGTGTCTCTTCTAATGCTAGAGTCGATGAACTTGTCCTCCATATGAGAAAGAAAAGCAGACCACAACAAACAAGTGCACTGGTGATGAAGCCATTCCTGTGACAGTCGCAAAAGAAGATGTCATCCTGTCCATCCTTCTTTTCACAGTTGTCTTCTACCTTTCCAAGTGATGTCATAATGGCAGCCAAGTGACAGCTAAAGTTGTGTTTGCTTTTGTGTTGTTTACCTGGTGGTGAATGGTCCATAGCTGTATAAAGCTGTGGTGTGATGTGAGGTCAGATGACATCACAAGTCAAATTGTATAAAATAAGAAATTTAGCTCTCTTTTATATATATTCCAATATCATTTCCATTCATTCCATCTATCGATCCTTCTCTCTCGTCCTCTCTACTCTCTCGTCTCGTTTCATCCACTCATTATTGTCTTCCTCAGCCCACTCAGTGATCTCACTCATAAACTCTCTAGTTATAGATTGATCTGTATGCTAGTATCATTATTATATCATTTCTGTACATTATTATTATATACTACTTCTCTTCACTTCCCAAATCTAATCTTTCCCTCTCTCCTCTGTATTAATACACCAAGCAATAGTACATACACTACTAGCAACAATTTGAAAGAGATCTCATTTTTATTGACCGCCAGTTTATCGAACATAGCAACCGC